GTAAATTTTAACTACCCCATATTTGTGAAATGATTGAAAATTTTGTTAAAAAGGGAGACCCTAACCCTGTTAACCACTCCATAAGCTCTTGATTGTTATCAAAACAGAAATTTACTCATATTTTAACTATTTTTTATTTAATGTTCACTATTTCAACTATTTGACAATGATCTAAAAAACTTACCTAATTAAATCATTTTCAATTTGATATAAATAAATAATCAAGCGCTAGATAATTCAAAATGGGCGGAGTTAATTTATTAAAAGTACATTATGATTGTTTGTAAACATGGACGATACCATAGGAGTACCTATCTCCCGTTTTACCGCACTAAACCCTGCGGGAAACCGCGGATTAACTCTGAGGTGGCGGTGTTTAGATCATCACCAACAGAGACAACCTGATTCCTCTCTGCCAAGTAAGATTGGAACCACCTGAACGCATCACCACAGTTGAGAGTCTTTCCTACAGGATTTGATGATCCACAGTGTCAAACGCAGCACTAACATCAAGAAGTGCAAGCAGTGCAATGTCTCAAGCGTCAACCGCGTCACAGACATCCGAAACCACTTTCAGTATCGCCGTCTCGGTTGAATGTGCTCGGTGAAAGCCTGATTGAACCTTCGGAAGCAATGAGTTGCTGTTCAAGTAGGCGAGGAGCTGACGATCGATTATCCGTCTGATGATTTTGGAAATGAAAGTGAGGTTTGAAATAGGCCTGTAGTTGGCCACAACATTACTTGCCAAACCTGGTATTTTCAACAGCGGTTTCACCAGAGCAATTTTTTGGGACCTGGGTAGTATTGCAGTTTCTAGACTTTTATTAACCATGTTCTGCAAAAACGGCAAAAGTGTTTCAACAAACTCCTTTATGAGTCCAGTCGGGATCGGATCAAGGCCGCAAGACTTACTGGAAGAAAAGAGAATTAATTTTTTTTAGATCCTCTTGTGAAATGCTCTCAACTTGATGAAAAGCGCTATCAGTCGATCACTTATTATTATTATGATGATGATTATTATTATAAATACTTTTGAAATATCTCCAGTTGGTTTCTATAATAACTTTAATCTTTCATTATTTAAAATTATGTGGCCGGTTTCTTTTAACGATGAGTTGATAGAGACTGTTATAAGGTTATCATACTGTCATAATATGGCGACAGAAACAATTTATGATATAAATTTGAATATATTTCATCGATCTGTACTTTTATTTCGAATTGAGTATAGTGGCTTTATATTGACATTTCATTATTTTACAATTTCATAGTTATAATTGTTTATTACCCTGGCTTTGAATAAGAGTTCTCATTATTATTATTATTATAGTTTTTTTATTATTATTATCATTATTATTATAATTATTATTTTTTATTGCGCTGATCGGTGAACAGGAGAGCCGAATTTTATCAGCTTACTGTTTTTAAGCATTTATACTAGTTTTATCGAAGTTTCAATATTTAAATTTGGTTTAATTAATTTCGCAAAATTATAGTGAACATGGCTGCCGGTTTATTTTTAAATTTTATTAAAAATTTTATTTTATATAATTTATTGGGTTTATTTGTACTGTCCTAGTTATGGCATTAAACTGACCCTCACTGCCTTGTGAGTGATGTTGGATCATCAAAGGCTAGGCCACCGCTTATAACTGTGGTTGCGTAAGGAAGGGCGTCCTGCGTAAAAATTAGCCAAATAAATTACTTATGATGACAGAAGTGACAATGGCCCTCAGTATCCGGCAGAATGGCGTCGAGGGGTATTTCGGTTTCATCATAGGTAGCCAAACGGCAATCCCGATCTCGGGGAAAATGTCGTCTAAACGTGTGTTGTTGTTGTTGATGTATTTGTAATTTTAAATACAATAAATTTAGTAAGTGCAAACAGTTGGTCCTTATTGTTTTAAAATATTTGTATCTCTTAATAGACACTCCTGGAGGTGTACCTACTAAAGCAACTAACATAATAAGCTCTAATGCAAACAACTCTGCAAACATTAAAATTTTGCCGAATTTAATAAATATCGATAATAACTTCACAAATAATTTTAATAATATTTTGATTTGTTGTTGTGGCAAACCTTGCAAGGACAAAAATGGATTATTTACGCATCAAAGATCATGCAAAATGTGCAGGTTTCTCAAAACCAAAATTTCTGACGTTGAAAAACGAACAGCCCCTCCAGATCCGGACCGGTCAAGTTTTGAGCACAAGCCGACCCAAACGGCTACCTCTGAGCCACTTCAGGGTGTCAAACTGCCAACGTCTTCTACGAAATGGACTGAAGCAAACGCATATTTTTAAATAGAATTGGAATGCCTCTACAACATGAACGTCGACAACTTTGCCATTCACTTTCAACAAATAATCTATTCATATTTCGCAAAAAACTATGGGTATACGAAAACGCAAACAACAAAAAATTTGGGTATAAAATGCTTGATTAAGAAGTTGAAAAAAGAACTAAAACAGTTAAAAGCTAATAATTGCAATTTAACTAATCAAATATCCAATCTTAGTAAATTTATTAAAAAAAGAATAAAATTACAAAAAGCTAAATCAATCAACAAAAACGCCCCAACTACAACTCAATTCAACAATAAATTTTGGAAAGCGCGCAAATCGGCATTTTCACCATCGCAAAATACTCCTCCTCGGTTCAATGTGGTCGACGGCGGCAATTTCTTTCGCGATGAGTTGATGTCTGATGATCGAACTTCATTCGAATTGCCAGATTGGATTCCATCTCTACCAACACCGTCATATGCGGGAGACATTGATCAGCCATCCTACAAGGAAGTTGCATCAATTGTTCGAAAATGTAAGGCCAAAGCAACGCCCTGTCCTCTGGATCAAGTTTCAACAATTGCTCTGAAAAGGTGCCTAATACTCCGTACATACTTCCATAAATTAATAACCAGTTGTTGGAAAACCGCAACAATCCCAAGGGAATGGTAAAATGGTTTAACAATCTTAATTTACTAAAAAAGAGATCCAAAAACTCCGGCTAACTTTCGCCCTATAACGTTACAGCCAGAACTATACAAAATTTTTTCAATTTTACTAAAAAAAACAGACTGTACTATTTCCTGCACAAAAACAAATTCATTAATACAAACGCGCAAAAAATATTCTATCCAACAATCGATGGTCTGGCGGAACACCCAGATGTTGATTCACTTGATGAAAGATGCAAAGAGACATCAACGCACAATAATCGTCGCGCTACTGGATCTCCGAATCGCGTTCGGTGAGTTATCTCATCAACTCAATTCTGCTTCACCATTATGTACCGCAACTATTTAGAAATTTAACATCATCAATATATTCCAACTATGCTATATCGGTATCGATCGTTGGACATTGCTACCGGTAAGAAAAGGGGTGTTTCAGGGGGATCCATGCTTGCCGCGGCTGTTTAATCTATGTTTTAACCCTATAATGAAAATTTTAGAAAATGAGGAATTTAAACAATGCGGTTATCTTTGGCGTCCAACCTCTGATGTGAAAGGTAGAGCATGGTTTCAATTCGCCTCGACACGGCAATTATTGCAAATAGTTCGGAGAGTGCACAGAAATTGATCAATCTGAATCTTGTCTGGTGCAAATGGTCGGGCATGCAGATGAGGTCAGATAAGTGATGTGTATTTGGAAAGAGGGAAAAAGATGGTTCATACGATCAATTCCTACCAAGGTTGACAATAGACAACATACCCATTCTAACAGGGTTGGGAATTCAAATACCTGGGGAAGAACTAAAGGACACAAAAGCTAAAGAAGAGGTGATTTCTAAATTAACACGTCTCTTGAGATCTACGACCGAACTGGATGTTTCTACGCAAATGAAGCTACAAATTTTGAGAAGATTCATTCTCTCACAATTGAAATTCGAGCTGCGAATCTACAGTTTTTCCCTGACGTGGATCGCTAACAATTTGGATAACCTTGTTGTGGAAGCAGCAAGAAATTGGTTGTCAATACTCGTGAGAAGCTGTGTATCTGAGATGCTGAATCTACCATTAAAGAGTGGTGGTCACAACATTATTCCACTAAGGGAAAAATTTCAATAGCGTTGAGAATGAAATTAAAGCTGCGCGAATACTTCAAGACAAGTTCAAATGCTGAGATTCGCGGTCTATGGCGTGAAACATCGGTGGATCGACAATTGCTTTCTGTCGCAAACTCAACTTTTCAGACACTAAAAAAGTTGGAAAAGACCGAATAGCGGACGGCCTAAACCGCGTCCTCTTGCTTCAAAGTCAGAGCTCCTTGATCAAGTCGGTAACTGAGGTAATAATACCATTGCGAATAAAACACTGGTCAAAGAAATTAGATTCAATAACAGACACCCTATACAAATTCGAAAGAAAATATTTGATTCAGCAACTGCCGATCAACGCAAATCTTTTCTGATGGAGAAGACCGTTGACCCGCTGTGTCTTCTCTGTGGCGCTAAACAGACGAACAAGCATGTGGTGTCCAACAATTGCTTTGAAACGTTATACTGAACGCCATGACTAAACATTGTCCGAGAGATCGTTAATAGTTTGCTGTCGTGCCGCACTACGGATTGTCTGATATTCGCAGATATCGATAAGGAGGGAGTCGGAGTCATGCCAATGTCGCAACTGTTTGTCAATCTTCGTCCAGACATCACCATTCTACAAAACAGAAAAATTGTGATCGTGGAGTTGACGGTATGTCACGAGACAAATTTAATCCAATCAAGAAACTTCAAACAATCGAAGTACAGAAACAATTTAAACTCAAGTATTATCCCCGATTTCAAAAACTGTTTGATTAATTTAAATACGTTTGAAATTACTCCAATTGGCTTCTTTAAGACTTTCAATTCATAATTAATTAAAATTTGATGGCCTATTTCATTTATTTACAAATTAATTGATTCTGCTATTAAATCGACATACGCTATCTATTGCGACAAAAAATTGTATAACCGTTTAAATATGTCATCTAACTAAACTTATCATAGATAATGAGTAATAGGGTTTTTATTGTGCATTTAATTATTTGACAATGTCCATATTTTATATTTTATGTCACTGATTTTCTGTAATAAAAGAGTTTTTATTATTATTATTGCTGTTGTTGTTGATGGTGTTGTTGTTATCATTATTGTTAGATTGCTGGGTGATTCAATTAACGTTATTGCTGTTCATTCTTCGAGTTGGAAGTGTTGTCGAGATACGTTGTTGGAAGTTGATGGAAGGTTTTTCAGATTCGATGAAAATGGGTTCTGCGATTCTTAGGTTGTAGTGTTGTTGATTGTTGTATAAAATTTGTGTGTTGTTATCTAGAAGGTTCCTAATTACTGGGGTGTTGTGGAAAATTCCAAGATGGTTTTTATTGCACCGTCTCTTTTGTGCGTAGTAAGTCTACGCGATAGTGTTGTAGTAGTCATCCTTATATAGATAGTTTGAAGATGCGCACAGTCGTCAAGAGGACAAGAAAATTTATATTAAGATGACTACGTTTCAAAAGGGAAGTGTTGTGAGTAGGCGATTATTCAAAATTAATACACAATATCAACTAAAAATTCAAAACTTCCGTCTATACTAAAACAAGTAATAAAGATTTTGTTTGAAGGGACGGAGTGAATGCAGCAAAGCCTACCAAACAAGCACGGTCTCATCGTTTGTTAATCGAGCTTTCACATATTCTACAGATCCAGAGGATGTTTTATCTGGGCAGAATGCAGCACAGATGTTTGAAGATTGGAACACCAAACTCGCCTATCATGAATTCAAAGTCAACATCAGCAAAACCAAAGCAATGAACACTGCTGAACCCATCCAATCCACAGCGACTGGACGATGGCCCTGTTCAGTTTGTAATGCTGTTGTAGGCAACAATTCAATCAAGTGTCAGCAGTGTAACCAGTGGTTTCACAAACGTTGTTCAAAAATAATTGGTACTTTATCTAAATGTCCAATTTTGTTTGTCCTGCTTGCATCAATCCACAACAACAAGTACGAAATAGCAATGTTTTTGAGGACATTAAGGTAGAGAAAGTCACATCGTTTCAATATCTTGGGAATGTTCTGGATTGTACTGGAACATCCGAAGCTGCCGTTCCAGCACGCGTACGTGCAGCCTGGAATAAATGGCATCTCCTTGCCTCTATATTGATGCGGCGTGACATCCCACTGTCACTACGATCAAGACTTTATACGTCCAGTGTTGTTATATGGTGCAGAAACATGGCCAATGACAACCAAACTGGAACAACAACTTCAACGAACCGACTTGAAAATGCTCCGATGGATGCAACGAATTAGTCTGAAGGACCACATCAAATCTACCGAAATCCTGCGTCGCGCTGGTTTAGATGATATAAAGGACGAATGCCGGCAACACCGTCTGCGGTGGTTTGGTCATGTCAAACGAAGTGGAAACAGTGCCATAACTTCTCTTGCAGATGTTGAAGTACCTCATTCTCATTGATTGATTGAAAAAAACAAATGTTTTCAACAGATTGGCCAATGAAGATTTACTAAATCTCAAAGAACATATTTAATGGATTAAATAATCATTATTTTTGTTTACTTATTGCAAAAACATTTACGTTCATTTCAATTTGCTAAAACCACAAATCAAATAAAGATCCGTTCTATATTTCATAAATTAATGCATTTCAAGATACATTAAAATCATTTATCATTCTCATTGATTGATTGAAAAAACAAATGTTTTCAACAGATTGGCCAATGAAGATTTACTAAATCTCAAAGAACATATTTAATGGATTAAATAATCATTATTTTTGTTTACTTATTGCAAAAACATTTACGTTCATTTCAATTTGCTAAAACCACAAATCAAATAAAGATCCGTTCTATATTTCATAAATTAATGCATTTCAAGAGACATTAAAATCATTTATCAAAATTATATCAATGAAAAGATTTATCAACCATTTGTAAATTTTTAATTGTTTGATATACTTAGAAATTATATTTGTTTCATATTTTATATTCAGCACTGTTTTTTTTCAGAAATTCACGTAGAGAGAAATAACTTTACCCTAAAAATTAAAGGGGACGGCGATAATTATATTATTAAAATATGCAAAACATGTTTTAAAATATTAATTTCCAACGTGGATGGAGCAAAAATTCAAATGTTAAACTATTAAATGCTTAAATCAAAATTGTGCCAATCCTCTATGGTAAACAATTAAATTGCGATAATCATCTGTAATATATTCAATGCAATTAGAACAGTTTCCATAAATCTTTGTAGGAGGTGGTGGGTAATTTTCAGAGGCATATTGATTTATTATGAACTCATTAAAACTTTGCTCTTCTTTCAAGCTAATGATAAATGTCCAAATTGTAGGTTGATTAGCACTAATCAGTTGGCCATGTTGTCGATGCTATCCTTCAACAAAGTTATTAGTTTTATAAATCCCATTTGCAACTGCAGAATAACAATTCCATAACTGAATTGAAAATCTTTGGGTACGACGAACACCATTAAATGAAAGTCTGTCAATATAGTTTTCCTCAAAATAATCCAAAAACTCTTGAATTATATGCAATTCCTGTATAAAAAATTCGCTTCCTGTTAACATTTCATAGGCAGTTACCACATTATCCACATATACGTATGATAATGCAAGAAATAGACGTATATTCAGAGCATACTCAGAATCTGATTAAGGGCCGGAACTAGCGTATTTGCCAGGGGGGCAAAACTCAGTGTGCCGCCCCCTACCACGTTGTTATTATGCTACTACCGTAAGCTGCCGTTTAAA